AAAGCATGGGAAGTGAAGTGTTGAGGTCACTCCAAAGCAAACTCTTGATCCTAGCTAAACTGCCAACGTAAGGGGACTCAGAAAGGTCAGGTGATTGTTTTAAACTGGCCCATAAGCTTCATTTATGCTTGTGTATCCTAAGATAGGTATGCCAAAGATCAGCAGGATGGATTACTCCTCCTTGTCCTCACCGGAGAGGCTGCAGACAGCAGATGCAAGTTGGACACCCGAGTAATGAAATGGGGTGAGGCAAGTCCCACCTGAGATGACCATGATTGCTGTCTGTGGTATGCTGGGAGCTCTCAGCTATGGCTCGTGGGTATAAGACAACCTGCTGTGTGATGTGAAGTCTGAAGAGGGAGGAAATTGCTTTTATTTTTGCTTATCCTGGTAGAAAAAACAAACTAACCAAAAAATCCCCAACCAACCACCAGACAAGCCTTTAAGCACGCAAGCCTTCTTTTCAGTGCGTTGCTTTGCCTGAGTCTTTGTGTCATCACAGCTAGGGCACTACTACCACGAGAGTATTTGGGTGAGCTAAGAATAGCAGATTTCCTTGAGAAATGTTTCTGTTTATTTTGGTTTTGTATTTTTAAATTGCCGGAGCCTTGATGACCTTTTTCTTAAGGTTCCTAGAAGAATAGCCTGATCAGAGAGTATTGTAACAAGGAGGGCAGTTGTGAACTGCCTTAATTCTCTGGCTTCTTCCTTCTGACCTGCAAGGTTTTACTGGCAGAATGAGGAAACAAGTTGTAAAGTGGACATGCCTCTGAACTTTATTGCTATTGCTGCTGGATTAAAGGTAGAGAAGGCTAGCGTGACGTTCGCATTCATGCTATTTCTAGGTTGCCGTTGTCTGTGGGGCCATTGTAACTTAAATAAATAGAAGGCACTCTGTGTTAAAGGGAATATATCCAGTATATATCATTATTAAAAGGATGAAACACAAGAATCTGTTCAAAATTATTTCTAAGTTATTGCTAGGATGGCTCTGGTGTGAAGTGCCACTGAAAGCTAACAAGGCTCCTCTGTGCAGACGAAGAGTCGTTTCCCTGGGTGCATAACTAAGATCAGCAGAGATAAAGGGATGGGGAGCTCATAGGATCGAAGTGTACAAATGCCAGGAATGGAAACGCATGATTCTGGGTTGGTAGAATGATGCCCATCTGAGAAAATAGGTTTTTGCAAAGATTTACCTGCTGGGAAACAGCAGTTGAGCTCAGGATTTTTTTTTTTTGGGGGGTGGGGTGTTTTTAGGGATTTTTTTGGAAGGTATTTCTTTGAATGAAGGAAAGGGACAGTAATGAGAAGGGGTGAATGAAGGATAGTGGGACCCAGGGAGACAAGGGCAGAATAGCGATAGAGACTGAGAAAAGGGAGCTGGTCTGGAAGAAGTAGTGATTAAAATACCATGAGTGAGACACTTAGATGCACAAGAGGTAAGAGGATCAAAGTTGTATTTTTAGAAGAGAAGATGTGTATTTGGATTTTTTAATTTTATTTTATTGTGGATAGCCAGTGCCTGTTAGCTGTCTCACAGGGAAGCTATAAGCAAGACAAAGCAGGGGGAACTTTACTTTTAGTCAAGCTGTGATTTAGTACTACCCATGCTCTTAGATGAACACGAAGTAAAATTACAGCCTCAGAGAGATTTGCAGTAGAACAGCTAACACTTCTTACCCTGTGATTTAAAAAAAACAAAACAAAACAACCCTTTTTGGCAATCAAGAAAAAGTAAAAAGCCAAACTATCTTTGTGTCAGAGGACCTAGTAATACTCACTGGCTCAAGCTCTGGCTGGTGGTTTGGCAAATACTGAAGGTAGAGCCTTGCGTATAATAGACCGTGTCTTATGTGCTTGTCTTACTTATGAGCCTAACAGAGTGTATAATTGATACTGAAATAAAGTGTAGTGGGGATTCATATATTTGTACTGTCTGTTCATTTCACAATGGAGCATGCATCCTGGTTGGAAAGCCCAAGCTCTTGCAAAATTTTAATTGCCTTCCCCTGATGATGATATGGTAAAGGTTGTTGGCTAATTAAGGGTGGTTTCTAAATCAGGATTCTGTACACACGAAATACCCTGTTATTTTCTCATCTGTCTAGACAGGTCACCTAATCCAGCTTTAAAATGCTGAAACAGGAGGGGAAAACATTTTCTTGAAGCTTTCATGTGCATTCTTCACATGAGTTCACCAAAGCCAGGATTAGGAAAGCTATACTTAAAACTCAGCTAAACCGGTTCAATTTCTATAGGATGTAGATGGCAGAAAAGATGTTTCTTTACTGTGGCAATTAGAATACACGCATCTGGAGACTAGATGATAAGTGGAGAGTGTTGTAAAATGTCTATCGGTTGTAATAAATCCTGCAGACATTTCTAGTAAGAGTTATTTCAGCTGTGGGTTTGTGATAGCTCACAAATGAGGAAGGACTAGCCAGATTGATTTATTTCTTCTTGAAGAGATGACTAGGATCATATATGAAGGTCCTTAGCGCTGAGGAGAATGTGAACAGGGAATGACTGTTCAGTGTTTCTTAGAACATGGTTTTGGGGGATCTCCTCAATTTTCATTGAGTAGTGGTTTTGAAACCACCAAAAGAATGCTAATGTTTGCATAATGTTAACAGACTCAGCAAAATTGTTGTGAACGCCAAACTTATATGGGGATTCAAGAAGGAGTTGGCAAAGGATTTAACTTACACATCATGGAGCAGTTCCTGACTACCTGGTGAGGGAGGCCCTCTGTACCTGGAGTGCCATGTTCCTTTTTATCTCAACCCATTCTGAAAATCCAATTTCAGAGTGAATTAAGATAAAAATGAAAGAAACCCACTCCTCTCCCAGGTGAGGAAAGGCCATAGGAGAAATAAATGAGCATCAAAGCCAAGTAGAGACAAGTCCTAAAGTGTCTGCAACTGGAAACTTGACCCATCTCACCAGGTGCTGTAGGGAAGGAGCTTTGCATCCTCCTCTCCCCTGCCTGCTCCAGATATTTACTGTTTCTTGTGGAACCAGGGAAGAAATCATTCACTACTGCTTCTTCAAACTGTTGTACTGCTTTTGAATCCAGCTTGCTCAGAAGTAACTCCAGTGCCTTGTTTTGGCTGCTCACAGCTTTTCTGTTTGTCAAATGACCATGATACGTGACTCTTTCACGACGGACTAGAAAGCATGTTTGACGTGTTTGACTTCAGCTTGGAAATAACTCTCCAAACATCTATGGCTGGCTCCCTATCACAAATATCTGCTAGCTGAAATGTGTTGGTTGGGAGATGAAAACAGTGAGATGATTGATGTAATCGCAGGTAGAAGTTTTTAGCATGGCTGCAGCCAGATCTGGCTCAGTGTCACCTGTTCCGTTGTTCAGTGGCAGTTGGAACAAGCCGTGTTGGCAGAAGCAGAGTCTGTTACAGGCACTGTGTTAATCTCTCTTGCAGGTGAGCCCAGATAGGGTGGATTGAGCTGAAGTTGTTCCAGTTGAAACTAAACATTTTCAAAATAGTTGCGGAGACCTCCAGTTGTACCACTTTACTTATACAGCCGCTTAAATCACTACTGACTGCAGTCTGGTGTCACCCCTGTTGCAGACAGCAGGAGATGCTTGGTCAACATACAGAAGTGCTTTAAGAGCCTGGAGAACAAGATTCTGCCCAAATGAAACCACTGTCGCTTTGTACTTCATTAGTACATGTGATTATTTACTGTGATAGTCCAGTAGTGTCTTAAGCACAAAGGTTTGATTCTTCTTCTGGTAATGCAAGAGAGAGAAACAGGAATTTTTGACGCTGGCCACGTGTTGGGAAAATTGGGGAAGACCTCAGGAGTATCCAGCAGCTTGGCAACAGGTAGTGGCAGCATCCGAGCTCCCTGGATCTCTCTGTGGTCGGTAAGCGTTGGGTGGGGAGGATGGTAAGGCGAGGTAGGAATTGTGTGTGTGCTTTGCCCAAATCATGGGGCACCAGCTGGTTGAAGGGCTGATGAATCCTGGGCTGTGTCTTTATGCTTTGCAAGTCAGGGCTGATGTCTTCTTGGGCCTGGTGGAGTATGGGTCTCTGTGCCCTGTTCCTTCATGCTCTTGAGGACAGGTGTGAACCCATCCAGAACCAGATGACTAAACACTTGCGTATGAGCACATCCTACATTGGTAGTCCCTGACTAAGGTTTCACCTTAACCATGGACCCAGGCCATGTACTAAAATAAGGTGATGGGACCCAAGAACTAAGGGTATACACAGTTGAAAAGATGGCTTCTAGGAGCCTGCAAAGAAAAATAGCATACTGCTGGGAGCACTTGGATGCCTTGGGTGGGTGGAGGTAGAAGTGGACTAGTCAGGACTGGTACAAGTTTGAACCTCTCTTCATCAGACGCAGGCTGATCCTGGTGTGGCAGGACAGTGTTGGCTCCAGGGGCTGCATCGTGTGGCTGTGAATTTTTCAACTGGCCCTTGTTGGCTTTCATCAGTTGAAATGTTTTTACTGTCTGTACCATTTCTGTAATGACTGGTTTCATATCTGATCTCCATGCTTTGAGCTAAATCCTCTTTACCTAGTCCCATAGTTATATGATCTGAAGCTTATGCTTTGTGGTTGCCACAGAGGCAAAGTGCATCCTCATCACTGTTGTTGTGGAGCTTGTCGGCACTGAACATGTGGTTTTCTTTTTCTTTTTTTTAAGTCTTTACCACAAAATTGCTGATTTGGAGCTTATTTAAAGAGATGGGAGTTTGAAAATCCTTTGACTTCTCTGGAAATAGTTTACATGGTACAAGAGGGTGGAGATTTCTGGAGTTTCCAGTACTGGTGCTCCAGGCCAAAAAGTTGTTGCATCCCAATTTGACCTCAGTTATCCTTCCTATGCATCCCATTTTCAAGGCTGGGTCTAGTTCACAAGTTTTCTTTCTTTTCTGCTGGACTTTTTTTTTAAGACTTCCTTAGTATTTTTAACTGCAGAAGTTTCAGCTGGGATCCCTGAACACCCTTGTTTGCTTTTCCATAGGTTCCTTAGAAAGAGAGCTCGGACGGCATGCAAAGTTGTGAAATATCTGCAGACAGCACGGATGATCCTCTTAGTAGTGGCCTACGGAGAAAACGACAGCCTCGAATAGTAGTTATCGGTGCTGGGCTTGCAGGCCTGTCAGCGGCGAAAGCGCTCTTGGAAAGCGGTTTCACGGATGTAACTATCCTTGAGGCGACTGACCGAATTGGAGGCCGCGTGCAAAGTGTGAAACTTGGTAAGAGCGGCGTTTTGGGGGTAATGTGTTGGGCTTGCTTTATTCTGCTAGCAAGGCTTTGTATTGTCGTTGGGTTAATTCGACTTTGGCAATGTGCTTTTTCAGTCAATGTGCGCATGCAAAAGGTTATTTGAGGTGTGATGTTGAGAGGAACATAAATCCTTGGGCTTCTTTCAGGGTGGGTGGGTGAATCTGAGCTATCTTGTGCATCTCTTGTGAGGGAGGGCTGCTGCAAACCCACGTTTCTATAAATTAAAGATCTCTGTGATTGTTTTCACTTGTTAGACAGAGCTCTTCCTGTACAGTCTGTGAGAAGCTTTCTGTGATTAAATAACTGTATTGAGACAGTTTCCACCAATGTTTTCAAGCTTGACTGTTGACTAGGAGCACTCGGTAAATCTCCTGGCTAGTGAACGGCTGTTTCTCAGTGACTTACATCACTTGCACAGGGGCAAGCTCCAAGCCATTCTGTTTCACAAATAACCCCATTCATTTCCCTAGAACTAATTTACTGTGTAGGGCACTACCCACAGTGAATCAGCCTGCTGGAAAAACCTCTTCAATGTATCTTTTCATCCTGATTTGCAGCTTTCCTACCTCTGTAGCTTCCTTTCTCAGTGTGTAATAAAGGTGCAGACACTGGATATTTTAATCTCAGGTCAATTGGAAGGGCTTGTAAAATCTCTAAATGCAAAACTACTGGAGCAAATGGTACCCTTTGCAGCACAGTAGTCAATGAAACTTCCCCTGGTACCTAGAAGGGCACTGCATGTCTCTCCTCTGTGGGGGGCAAAAAGCTCTTCACTTTTACTGAATTGCCTTCCTGATTTCAATTAACTAGTTCTGTTTCTGATCCTACTCTCTGTATTTACTCTTCGGCCTCTTGCTGCCCTCCTTTCTTTTTATTTGACAGGTGCTTACATCACTTACTATATTTTACTCAATAAACTCAGCATAGTAAATAAACAGCAGTGTCCTATGAACTTTCAGAAAGGAAACGAATGAAAAGGCAGTCAGACAAATCTAATCTCCAGGGTTTGAATAGGGCACGTTACATTCTGCTGAGACTTGGCATAGAGGTTAGAATGGGAAGTGTGTCCTTTACTCACAATAATCTGTATTAAAAATATCCTGGATCATGGCTGTGAGAGGAGGGAAGTGTTAAAGACCTGCAGTCTTCAGGGAGCAATATATCATTCTGCCAGCGCACATGTGAAATAGTTTTATTGTACTGGTATCGAGACCAGTTCTCTCACCTTTGGGCACCTTCATAGGCTACTCATATCTTTGCCTTTGCTGGGGACCTACCTCCTGTTCGTTAACGCTTCTTAACTAATGTGAGACAAGAGCAGACTTTTCAGCCTGGTGGAGATCATGCAGTTCGTAGATGCAACTGTTATTTGCAGAACAGAGGACTGGAATCCAAAGTCTTGATCTTTTAATACCTTTGTTAAAACTACAAACTGTCCGTCTTTTACCTTCCACAGACTACCGAAGTTACTCTGTGTGGGTATGGACTGCAGTTCTCTCCCAAGGTGGGCCCATGTTCTGGTCCCTTGGGTGCTTTGCAGATCCATGCGCCCTTTACCCAAAGAGTTTTGGAGCTCTGTTGGGTGGTGAAATCTTCAGAAGCAGCACGTACTCAGAACCTCCTTATTCCCTGGTATGAGGGCAAAAGGGCAGCATGGTCCTGGGCTGTGTTTTCTTCTTCTGTACTGCCTGGAGCAGCAAGATTGTACCTGGGGCATGCAAGACCTGCTCATTTCTCAGAACTGGCTAAAGCTTACCAAAAAACTGTTACAGAAGTGGTTCTTCCAGGTCTTCAACATATGACCGCTTTGATCTGCTTGTCTAAATGACATTTAAATGTTAAACTTCTCTGCCTGTCTGCATGCTTGACTAAATACCTGATTTAAATCTTCAACAGTGCTACAGTAGCACCTTCTCAGGGTTCTGCCCTAATACTGCCGCTCTCCCTGAGCCATGCTGTGTCTTGCAGGGGACAGTATTTTCCCCTCAACTGCACAGAGTATGTTGCTACTCAGCACATGGGAATAATTCGGATTTTCCGAGGTTTGGTTCATCATGTCTAGCACAGGTGAGGCAGAGGGTTGGTGTGTTTGTGGATTCTAAGTGTATTTCTTGTACATGATCGAGAACGTCTGTATCAACTGCAGATACACCACGACAGGATGCCCAAGAAATAGGGCTGCAAAGGGAAATGTGAAAGTTCCCGTGCGTATTCAGAAGGCTTGATATGCAATCTGTGCGTTCCTTTGGAAAATTGCTGGTATGGTATGTTGTTGTGTGTAGCCCTGTTTTGACTGTTACTTGTATCTCAGGAATACTAGTCACAGAATAAGGAGCAGATTGTTTCCTATTTTGTGTTGTATTGGATGATTAATTTGAAATAGATTAATATTGAAACTAAAATCTTTGAAAGCCCTGAAAGTAAATTAGCTATCTCTCTTTAAAAAGATGGTATTTAATATTACACTTTTAAATAATTTATCATGTAGCTTACACTAGGTAACAACTGGCTTATCTGCTTGGTAGTGATGACAGTGACTTTCTAAGTATTACAGGCAAGAATGACTCTGTTTAATTTGTTGGTATTTGATTATATTCCACCCAGCTACCGAAAACAGGAGAACTTGGAACACATCATAATTGTTAGCAAGCACCAATACAGTGGGACTTGCTTTTTCTTTAAAAGATCAGGTGCCCCATAAATAAGAGTTATATACAGGAGGGTTGTTAGTGTAGCAGAGAGCAAGCTCCTGACG